TGTAATGTAATATAATATAATGTAGTGTAATATAATGTAATATAATATAATGTAATATAATATAATGTAATATAATATAAGTGGGGAACAAAAAAGAAGAAGAAAAAAAAAAACTAGAGTTCTTACTTTCTCCAAACAGTCGAGCAACGGGTGGCTTCTTGTTCAGATTTTTATGGATGGGGCTCCCTGTAGGCGTTTCTTCTCGTTTCGGAGATGATTTGGCGGTGGAAGGGGGCGTCTGTTGCCCCGAGGATGGGATCAGCTGACGACGAGCCTGGACTGGCGAGTTCTCATCAAAGCCGAGTTTTCGTGGTGAGGCCAGGCTCAGCTTCCTCTGTTTTGTAGGTGAGCACTGCAGGGAGGTGCCAAGGTTGCAGACATTGTCATCACCTTGATGGAGAAAAATGAAAGTGCTGTTATTTGTTATGACTCGAGGCTGGCTTTTTAGGATCTGAAATTTTAATCCTGAAGATTTGTCATTTAAATTCAATTCCAATTTTTTTAATCTAGAGGCACTGAAGGTTATTAGTACACAGAGCTGCATGAAGTAGTGGAACAACTGAAGCTTTTGAATTCACCGTTCAATACCTGTGCGCTTTCGAGGGCTGAGGGGGATCCGGCTTTGGAGACGAGGGGAGGAAGGTGCTGGTGGCTGGGCTGAAGTGCGTCTGGGTGAAAGAGGGGACAAGAGGGCGACTGGCCGCATTGGGGAGAGAGGAGTGGGCCGGTCTGTGTAGCGTCTGGGGGACAGTGGGGTGGACAAGTTAATGGGACGTCTCGGGGAGAGGGGTCCGATCCGCGTCAGCCCCGGGGCCTGAGGTTCAGGCTTGATTGGTGACACAGCTGGGGACTTCTGGGGCTCCGGCTTCTTGGAGCGGGAGGAAACTCTGGAGGATTTACGTCGAGGGAACTGAAGTGTGGGCTGAGCTCGTCCCTGGGAGCGTGTGCTGGGCATTTTGGATTAACCTAAACGAAGACAACATGTTTAAGCACCTAAATATGACACATGATTCAGACATCATCTAATTATTAAAAAATAATAAGAACCAATGTTTTGCTTGGCTTTTTTATATATTTATATATGCATGAACAGAGCCGTAGCCAGAATAATATGATCAGAAATATATGTGAAGATTAAACACCGATGGGATTTACGATGAAGTGCGTGTTCCTATTTGGAAATACATAAACATGCACTTTTGTGTAAGGACCACCAAAAAACAAGAAGACTTTCCACTGATTCACAGGCAAATTATTACTAAGCCCAAATTTCACGACTGTAGTTTTTGAGTGGAAATGTCTGCTGTGGGTCTTGCGTTCATTGGTTGTACAAATCTTTTCGCATCCCTCCACGATCTGCTGTCCTATCAAAGTCGTTTAGCTCAGTTGCTCCAACATGCTACTCAAACACGAGCCATTAATCGCGTAACTTCATGTTAAAATTCAAAATCGCAAATAAAATCGTAGCACTGCGCTTAGTACTACACTAACAGCGCAAATTACATTTGTTATATCGCGTGATTCCTGAGCTAACAGTTACCTATAAACAGGAAATAATACAGTGTGCTCCACTAATGGCGCCAAACAAAGGCCTCGGCCTTTAAATATCCGAGTTTCCACTTTGACCGGACAGTTTTTTAATCTAAAATGTATCTGGATGACTAAAAATGACTCCGAACGCATTTGTTTGCAAATACAAGCAAGCGTGTAAAGCTAACAGATATTTTTCAGAGTAGTGGCAAACCTACGCTGAAGAGTAGACTACAGTAGGTCAGCTCTCTTCCGCCCGTCCAGTATCAAATGTATTTTTCTTGTACGAGTTAAATGAGCGTGTTGGTAACAAACGTACCTCTTAAATTAAGTTGATAGAAGTCCTCTCGGTACAACGCAAAACGTGTTTTCTTTTCTCTCTGGCCGCCCGAAACCAAAGTTGCGCTGAATCTCCCGCAACTCTTTCTAGATCAGCTGTCTTTCCCGCCGCTGTCCTCTGATTGGCTTAGCTGAGTGAAGCTCATTGGCTAAAGCGTTACGGAGGATGTTACGTCAATGTTACGTGCCCCAGTCGGTGGCGGGAGTTTGAACACAGAGTACTTTTTGGCGCAAAGTTCCCGGGAACTTATACGTGTCCAAATGCTGGCATATTTACCTGTTTCTCCAAAATAATTTCCGTTATGGAAATAATCAGAGTAAACTATTTGAACTACCATATCACTGCACTAAAAAAATAACAACGCATTAATAAAATATAAAGCTTATAAATATATATTCTTAATACATAAAAGATTTTTGGGACATTACTACAAAGACACATTTTGCTCCTGATTTGCCATGGGCATTTTATTGTTGCCTTATTCAGAACTGAAGTGTTGATTATCTTATATCCTTTAAAGTGGGGAATGGTGGTTAGCACTGTTTTCTTACAAGGAGGTTGGGTTTGAATCCAAGCAGGGCCTTTCTTTGTGGAGTTGGCATGTTGTCCCTGTGTCTGCAGGTTTTTTGTGTTTTTTTAAATACTCACCTCTTTTTACTGCCTGTGTTTATATACCTCTGGAATATGTTGTTCGATTTTGTCTTCTCTCTCCCATTGCTACTTTATCATCCCTGCTCGCCCCTTTTTTATGTATTTGCCTTCACTCTTAACTGGTTATGGCAGATAAAATCCTCCCAGAGTCTGGTTTTGCTGGATGCCAAATACCTTCCGATTGTCATTTTCCCTCAACTGGACTCTTTACCTCACAGTAAAACAAACCCCAAGGCAGCTTTTGTTGTGAAATTAAAAACAAAAAACCACCAAATAGAAAAGCCCGATAAAATGAATACAACATGAAGCCACAAACAGCTCCATAAGAGCAAAAAGACAAATTGTACACATTTAAAATAAAGGAAAAGGGTTAATAAAATAACGAGCTCAGTGAGCTCAGGTGTTTATCTAAATAAACACCAGTACCGTGGGACGAGGTTGTGTTAGACTGAAGATTAGCAACAATTCATTTGTTTTTGAAGAATTGTTACAAGTCTCGCTTATAAAGCACAAATAAAACAAACACACACCAACAATTTCTCTAAGACTTTAAATGGATTAGAGAAACAGATGAAGGAGGCCAGTGCTCGACTTTCACTAGACTGTAGGACTGATGGAAACTGCCTGGTTTTACTGCAGCTTTTAGCCATCAGTGAACAACTCCAGTAATTGGGCAACAGAACTGTTTTGCTTTCAGTCTTGTCAACAAAAGATAACTGCACCCATGCCAAACATTTAGCATGCTTACTCATCAAAAGACTCGGGGCCCCTCATTCAATAAAAAGTCATACATGTATATGCAGCGAGCAGTGCTTATACTGAAAATAACCAGACATAAATGTGTGAGTAGCTTCATTGATTTTCTCCAATCTTGAGCGAGTGAAGTGACGTTCAGGAGGTTTCATCAGCAAGTCAAGTTGTGTCACATTCAGTATCATGTTTATTGATTTCATCATCACAGTCACACCACACACACTATCATTCATCTGTTTCTGTGTTAATGCTTTACAGAGCGATGAAAGGTAACATTTATAAAACATTCATAAATACAAACTTATTCATTCACATTTTCTTTACATTATTGCTCTAGGAAAGGTCATCACACACACACACACACACACACACACACACACAGCCTCGCAAAGTTTCAATGTACAAAATATATGTGCAAATCCAATGAAGCCACATTACACTCACAGCAGAACACAAACAGAAGTTTAAACTGAGAAAGTGTTTTTCAGAACAACATTAGCTCATTTTGACTTTGATGGAAGCAGCAAAATGTAGGACAGATAGATGTGATAGCAATATGAAAATCATAGGTGACACGTGAGTTCAAGTTTTGAGAAAATTTGAACTCTGACCTTAACCTCCCACATATGTGAACATGATTATTTTGGGTCGTCTAGGCTACAGTTCCTCAATTTTGCTGTACAAAGCCTGATATCAGATTCTCAGAAACGACATCAGGTTTGTTTTTACATTCACCAGGTCTCAGTCCAAATAACAAAGACAAATTACAAATTCATCAAATGAGAGTTTGGGTCTTAGGAGGTTAAGGACAAGGTCAGAGATTCAAACTCATCTGAGAGGCACCTCTGGCATCACTTTGTCGTCGTGTTCTAGACTCATTGTGTTCACATGTAAAACCTCATTTACAGCTAAGAGCTTGTGTTTTCCTTACACATATAAAACAATTTTTAAGGTTTAAACATTTGACACACATTCTATAATAAACCCACATCTTATGGACAGCACATGAGATTTGTTTATCACTGCATTCTGCTAAATTTCATAAGATGGTTTAATTTTCAGTGCGATCATCATTTGGTGGCTGGATCCATCCTCTGCACAGTCTCACAAAGCCCTCTGCAAAAAACAAATACTTTTTATGGTAGAATATGAAGCTGATTAAGGTTTTTTTCTCCAAAACTTGATTCTGTTCATCTGGACGTAGCGTTTTGTGGGAGAAACGTTTCGTCACTCATGCGAGTGACGTCTTCAGTCTCAGCTGAGGTTTCCACAAATCTTATCAACAGCACATTTGCATAATGACTGAAACCAGCCCACTGAGGGAACAATGAGCTGGGAGGTCAGTTCCTTAATCTTAATTATGCAAATTCTCATGACCATTGATCAACAACCACTGACCAGAACCCACTGATCAAAGCCCACTGATCAATGGCCATGAGTACCATTCACAGAGAGTTGGGGAATGGCTGCAATCACAGCATTGTGAGATGGTGACAGATAAACCCTCCTCGATTCAGAGATGGTCTTTCCACATACTGTTTATGAGATTGGGGAAACCTGCAGTCAGCTGAGACCATTTCTCCCACTGAAAACGCTACGTCCAGATGAACACAATCAACTTTTGGAGATTTACTTTCCTGGAATATTGAGAATGCATCAAGACAAAGTTTGTTTGTTTGTTTTGTTTGTTTTTTAAATTAAGAAACCTAAACAAAAGTTTTACTAGACGGAAAAAAACCCCACTACATCAATTACTTTCATGGTGAAAATGTAAATATACAGTAATGATTATAACACATTCTACATTTTTACATTGATGAGAATGTAGGATGTGAGGATCCTACACTGAAAAAGACGGCAGAGATAAAGTCTGGATCCAAAAACAAGCAAGCATGGTTTTATTTAGGAACATTTATATGACCTTTGATTTAAGAGATGCATCAAGTTTCATCATCATCCAGCTTGCTGACAAAAGCAATGCCTAACTGAGAGGTTAACCGTTAGACTGACCACAACTTACCGAGCTTTCCAAGCAATCCCAGAACAATCAAGAGAAGAGCGACGCCGCAAGAAAGAGCAATCCCAATGATAAGCATCATGTCACCACCTAGAAGTCAGAGATTGAAAACAAGGGTCAGTTTATTCCAACATCATTCTTTAATATATCCACATGACACACAAGTCACGCAAGTCCTGCGGTGAAGGGAAGGTCAAACCACAGATGCTCTCATTGGTCAGGATTTGAGATTTCTGTCACTTCTGCCTTGACTGTACGAGTTCAGATTACCACGCGTGATGTGGATACAGTGGGGCAAAAAAGTATTTAGTCAGCCAAGGTTAACAAGTTAACATAGCTGGACTAGCCATCGGACATTTGCACGGTGGGCTGATGACTTATTTATTTATTTTTTGTAACGGCATGAACAATGAGAGGTGG